GAGAGGGGCAAGTTGCTGGAAGGACCAAGGAGGGCCTGGAGGGACAGCAGTGAGTAGGGAAGGTCTGCACAAAGTGGAGGGTGAGGGGTAGGAGGGCCCTCCCTGGAGGGGGAGATGGCCCTGGAGGGTACTGAGGGGCTGCCTCCTTCCAGAGGAATCCACCGTACCTAATGCCCTCAGGACTGTCTAGCCAGAATATCCAAAACAGCAGACCAGGTGAGCATCCCTACCAAGGGCTTCAGCCAGGGCTGTGGCATCTGGTGTACCACGCCCAGTAACATTACTGCATACCGCTGATGGCCCATTTTGTAATTAAAGGTCATCCCATATAGTTAAGAAGACATTAATAATTCCCAAGTGGACAAAGTTGTTGCAGTTCCCTTCAAAAAGGGATAGACTCTATCTTTTAAAGATAATATTAAAGTATTTTTGGAGGAAATGATAGGCTGTCTGGGATTACATTAGAATAATCCCCTGGGAGGATGGGTAGAGATATAGATTAAAAGAAGATTGACTACAAATATGAAAAGGAATATATGTATGTTCATGTATGACTGAAGCATTATGCTATACACCAGAAATTGACACAACATTGTAAACTGACTGTACTTCAATAAATATATATATATATATATAACAAAAAAAGATTGACCACAAATTAAAATAAACACGTGAAGAGGTGCTCAGCCTCCTTAATCAAGAGGGAAATGCAAATTACAACTACTACATATCCACCAGCATGGTTGAAACCAAAAAGCGAAAAAAACAAGAACAAATCAAACACAAGTAAACTAATGCTAGCGAGAGTGTGGAGCAATTGATTGGCACTCTCTTACATGGCTTGTGGGTGTGAGGGTGAAAGTACTACATTAGAGAATTGTTTGGCTTCACCTGATAGAGATGAATGTATGCCTACAACATGACATGTGTTAACCTAAAACTATAAAATCACCAGTTATTTTATCAGCAAAACAGGGCTTATTCAGAAACAGCAAGAAATTGCAATTTGGGATGTGCAACAATGGTGAACCACATACAAGCCCCCTAAAGCAAGGGAGAGAACTTTTTTATGAAGAGAGGGAAAGTTTGAAGGGACTGTTATAAACAAAAATTCATTGCAAAAAAGGAGATGCTCTGAGTGTAGAAGTTTTTCATTGGCCGAGGTGGGACAGTCTCTTATTGGCTGAGCTGTTGCCAGGCAAGAAGAAAATCTGTCCTCCTGTTGGCTGTAGTAGCATCACTTCCAGAGATGCAAGGTAGGTCTCTTCCTTGTATTGACATGGCGGGGTGCCTGCATAAGAGCTCCCCTTTCTGGCCTTCTGATTCCATATTAGTGTGGTTTCCTTTTCTCTTGCAGAAGAAATTCTCCTGGAATTGTGATTCCTGCCATCCTGCCTCCTTCCCTGTGAGGCTGCATGATTCCCCTCCCTTCCCCATCCTCCCAGCCCCTCCTGCTGTCCCTGAAGAAATCTGATTCACTCTGGAATCTTCCCCTTCCCCTCCCTCCTCCCCATCAACCCCCCTGACCAGGTGCTTTCTTCATCCCTCTGGCCCTGCTTCTGTCTGCTCCTCTCATTCTCCCTGGGAGTCCTGGGGTCCCCAGAGGCTCTCAGCAAGGTGCCCTGGTGCAAATCCACCTGCCCTTTCCAAGTAAGTGTCTTCCACTCCTTCCCGGGCATTTCCCAGCAAGGTCCAGTCACTTGGGGGCTCAGGAACCCCACACTGGTTGCTGTGGGAGCCTAGGTTGGTGGTTTTCCTGAGCCTCAATTATCTGCCTCTGTTAAATGGGTGCATCCACCTGTGTGGGAAATGATTCTGGTGCCCAGACTATAGTTAGCGCTCTCCTAAGGGGGCAGCTGTTGTCCTTACTCACTGTGTGATTGCTCCTTGTGTTCCCACAAACCTGCCTCCTGGTCCTTGATCTTGAGGTGCTGGTGCACAGGGGTAGTAAGACCCTGGACTTGGACCCTCTGCACCCAGACTTCCTGGGTTTTAATCCCAGCTTCACTGCTTACCTGCTGTGTAAACTTGGGCAAATGACTTCACCTCTCTGGTCTCAGCCTTCTCATCAAAGGAGTCATATTAGTGAGACCTAACTGTGAGGAGTCAATGAGATACTACCTGTGAGGCAGCAAAGCAGATCATGGTGTGTGGCATGGTTTTCACAGGTTTTTGTTCAGGAAGCTTTTGCACAGCTAAAGATTATAACCTCAGAGAGCTTAGTTTATGTGAGTTGCATTTGTAATAGTCACTATGTCAGAAACTAAAAAGGGGGCATTTGAAACTATTGATTAAATAATTTAAAAATGAGTGTTTATAAACCCATTCAATAGTAAGCTAAATGACATTTTTTGCGGTAAATAACTACAATCTACACAGAAAGGAAATGGAGTGAGAAGAGTGGCATCGTTTTACATCTTTTTAAGTCTCTTTGCTGACAGGCATTCTCCTTTACATCTGGTTCTGCTCCAGTCTGTCTCCATATGTCACTTTGGTTGATGTTCATGTAGAAAATTTCACCTCACATAGACACAGTTGAAACAGGGAGGAGGATTTTAATAGGAGTTTCAGGTAATTGTGGCTATTCCTTTTTTTGCTACAGCTCCAAAATTCAGCACACAGTAGTTTCTTTCTCTCTTTAAAATTGTTTTAGCTTTGCTCTTTGCTCTTACAAAGGAAACAATAAGGAAAACAAAAAGACAACCTATGGAATGGGGGAAAATATTTGCAAATGATGAGACCAAAGGGAGTGATTTCCAAAATATACAAGTAGCTCATACGACTCAATATAAATAAAAAACAAAAACAAACGACCTAATCCAAAAATGGGCAGAAGATCTAAAGAGATCATTCTCCAAAGAAGACATACAGATGGACAACAGGCACAGGAAGAGATGCTCAACAGCACTAATTATTGGAAAAATGCAAGTCGTAACTACAATGAGGTATCACCTCAAACCAGGCCGAGTGGCCATCATCAAAAAGTCCACAAATAATAAATGCTGAAGAGGGTGTGGAGAAAAGAGAACCCTCTTACACTCTTGGTGGGAATGTAAATTAGTGTATCCACTATGGAGAACAGTATGGAGGCTCCTTAAGAAATGAAAAATAGACTTACCACATGATCCAGCAATCCCATTGTTGACATATATTTGGAGAAAACTCTAATTCAAAAAGATACATGCACCCCAATGTTAATAGCAGCGCTATTGACAATAGCCAAGACGTGGAAACAACCTAGATGTCCATCGACAGATGACTGGATAAAGAAGTTGTGGCATGTATATATATATATATACTACTCAGCCATAAAAATAAATGAAATAATGCCATTTGCAGCAACATGGATGGACTAGAGATTATCGTACTAAGTAATGTAAGTCAGAGAAAGTCAAATACTATATGATGTCACTTTTATGTGGAATCTAAAACAAAACAAAACAAAAAGATAGAAATGAACTTATTTACAGAACAGAGACTCACAGACATAGAAAACAAACTTATGGTTACCAAGAGACAAAGTAGGGTAAGGATAAATTGGAAGTTTGGCATTGAAAGATTCAAACTGCTATGTACAGAATAGATAAACAACCTGGTCCTGCTATATAGCACAGGGAACTATATTCAATAGCTTGTAGTAACCTGAAATGAAAAAGAATATGAAAAAGAATATATACATGTATAACTGAATCACTGTGCTGTACATGAGAAACTAATACAACATGGTAAATCAACTATATTTCAATTAAAAAATTAAAATTTAACACTATTTTAGCTTTTTATTTTGAAATAAAATTAGACTTACAGAAGACTTGCAAAGGTAGTACGGAGTTTCTGTGCACCTTTCATCCCCCTTCCCCTGATGTTAATCTGTTAAGTACCCACGCAAAATCAGTAGGTACAAAATTACCGCTATCCACCAATTACCATTGGGATAACTTTGTAACTGTTTAACTCATATTCTTTTTCTACTGAATATGTATCTCCAGAAAGTAATCCAGAATACAAATACAAGGATACATACAAATATATATAAGTATGTCCGTTCAATTTAATTTGCTATATGTAATACACACATACCTACATATATGCATATTATGTACAATAGGACACAGAAGGGTTATCTCAAAATTATGTGGTGGCTTTTCTTTCAGGGTGGTCTCCACCTTTCTCTTCCTGGAAATGCCTCTCCTATCTTTTAGATTCCTCCAGTTGATCCCAAAATATCCTCCAGAATTGACACAACATTGTAAGCGGACTATATGTCAATAAAAAAGAAAATAAAACTATTTTTAAAAATGTTATCCAGAGCTGAATTGTCCAAACCAAACCAGTATTTACTCCTAGAAGACTCACATCACATGTGGTCCTGGTTCTTAGGTCTGTTTCAATTGTCACAGTCCCCTTTGGATGATCCTGGCAGAGAATCTCCCCCTTGGGGTGCGTCTGCATGGTAAGGGGTGCAGTTCAGGGTGGGGACCTCACATCCTTTGCATCACATCAGGAGACCTGGAACTTCTTAGGGATCCAGCAGCAGTGAGATCATGGCCCCTGGGCTGGGGTGGGGACAGCCTGCTCCTGTCAGTGCCTGGTTCTCTCTCACCTTCAGGACTAGAAACTCACAATGTGGTGTCGCTGTGACACTGTACCCACACCTGCCACCTGCCTAATGCTTTTAACCCTGATTGATAACCTTCGCTGGGATGCTTCCCTTAGGGTTTAGGAAATAGGGTTCTACCTCTTCCACTCTTTCCACTGGAGACCATCTTGGTGTTTTCTTCTGTAGAGTTTTCCCTCCTCATTTGGGATAACTCTTCACTCTGAACCCATAGTCAGAGAAAGACAGCAACATTGTATTTCTATTAAAAAGATCTGTGACACTTGTCAAAATAATACATTTATTATCTATGATTGGCAGATATAGTGCTGCCAGTATTTCAAAAGGATTTAAAAATAACAAAAGAACTTTATACACCATATAATTTGGGGTAGAGTTGGGCTCAGGGGACCACTTCATTTTTCACAGAGTAGGCAGAAACGTCAAACTCCAAACTTGTTTTGAGGTAGTTGACTTTCAGCTGTGAGTCCTGGTCCCAGTCTTGAAACCTCAGGAGGTTAAGTCCACCACCCGAGGAGGAGGGAATTCTCTCAGCCATAGGGACGAGGCTGCAGTCAGAGAGGAGGAGAAGGCTTCCCAGAAGGCAGCGATAAAGCCTCTTGAGCAGAAACAGAGGAGACAAGGGCAGAGGGGACTGGGGCTGAAACAGAAGGGCCTTGAGGGGCGGGTGAGGAGTCGTCTCCAGTTCCAGCATTTCCCTGTGCTCACCAGGGGGTCCCCACTCAGTGGAACAGGGGCCGCCTTAGAGAAACAGCAGCAGTTAAATCTGATGGAGGAACTCTTCTAGTAGCTTCCAGAAACTGAAGACAGGGCCCAATAAGACCCTTGAATGGACTCAGGAGATCAAGATGCCAGGGAGCTACAAGCCCTTGATTAACGAACAAGATATCCCAGCCAATGGTCGCAGCTCCTGGAAGGCACAGTCAGGTGGTTTTGCAAGGACAGTCCTTTGACTAGGACAGAACGACCTGCACGATCACACTGGAGTTGGGCAGATAGATTCCATAATGTTTGGAACAGAACTCCATTTCACGGACCCAGTGTTCAAGA